GAATTATGACGATTTTGGAAAATTTTAAGGGATATTTAGCGCGGGTGTTAAAATAGAAATTTACCGATTTATTTTTGCGAAACACGTGTGGAGAAATTAATTTGATTTTTCAATTTCAACTGAGAAGGGTACCTACAAGTATGAGTATCATCTTATGAAATTTAAATTTGTATTTTATGTACACTTCTGATAAAATTTCATAAGAAAGATACCTACAAATTAATTAGATACCTTTCTTATCAAATTTAATCTTTTTTTTAAAGAAACTTGTTTATTAAAAAAAGTTTGAACAAATTAACTATAAACAATTTGTTTTGCTATCCTCTGCCAGCCACAATGATGGAAAAAGCATTACCTCGAACCAGGGCCAGTGAGACACGCTGCAAGAGTCACTCCGTTTCGCGAGGCTCGTCCCTTAATCGAGACGCAATCGCGCCAATCCTCCGAAGGAACGCCATCGAACGAGGGCCAATAACCCCAGAAGTCTCCACTGCCACAGGAGTAAAAAAAATCTATCAGCAAGAGAATATTTAACTATTTAATCTCACTCTCAACAGTCTTATTTTAATTTCTTTATAATATATTTTCCATAAAGCATCGTAAACGGAAAGGTGAAAGCTAAGTACAAAAAAAAATTAAAAAAATTAGTGCGCTGAAAGTTTTCCTTTAAAATAACGAGGCAAATAATTTGTTCACTTAAATCTAAATAACTCCACTTCTCTCCTTCCGTAGAAGGAATTATCCTCACGTAAGCTATCAAAACGTCATGAATGTCTTCGTCACCTTGTCAAGTGACGCGAAAGGTTATGACCTGCTTTGTTTTATTTTCAAACTACGTCTTTTCGATGCAGAAACTAAGTTAAGCTTGGTTCAAAATATTTTAAATAAACATTTCTGATTTTCTTAAAATAAGTTTCGAAAAAGTTATAATTGATTTTTAAAAGAATTTCAAACTGATATCTTAATTTTTTTTTTTCATAAATTGGGGAAAAATGGCTGACATGGTCGATTATCTATCAATTTTGCTGACTCAAAAAAAAAACGTACTAGGAACGGTTAAATATAAAAAAATACCCCCAAAATACTTTGATCTTTCCTTTTAATAATAATATAAACATTTAGATGATGAAGCTTTTTCGTCAAGTTTGGCGTCTTTTTTCGTCATGCTATACTCTTTTAGCAATCTCATGAAGGTACCTATAGGGTTACATATACAGAATATTGTTGTGTACTACTGAACAATGAACATTAATGGAGAAAACATTTAAGCTAGAAAATTTTTTGCGTATGTCTATTTTGGGGTAGCAGAAAATCTGAGGAAAAAAAATGAAGTGAAAGGTGCGTACGTACGCATGTTGCTCATAAGTGTCTAAAAATAAAACGAGTTATAATTGCGTTCTTCTGCGAGAAATTTATATGTTCACGTCTATGCGGAATGAATGAGAAAAAGAGAGGGCAAGAAAAGATATCGCCGAGTATTTATAGTACCGGAAAGCGTCCCCTAGTAGCGGTTTCGAAAATTAGGAAGAGGTCACCCGACAAAAGTTTTACATGTCTTCCTATACATTCCTTATATGCAGCATATAAAGATGCCTTACTGTATAACTATCCTGAAATGTTTGATTACAAATGTTTAGTAAATGAGCTTAGGTACTTGTGTACTGACAATGACTTTTAAAGTGCAAGTCAAATACCGCCTTGGGTATGACGGTAAACTACATCCGGCAGCAAAGCGTCTGATAAGGAAGTTTTGAAGAGAGTGGAACTACCTCTTAATTGCTGTTGTTTTCTAGGTCCACCCTGACCCGGGGTGGCAGCACCTGTTAGGGTGCCAGCTATGGGCAAATAGTTAACCCTCAAATTGGGGTCAATTCACTATGAAAGCATAAACATTTTTTATTGTAAAAATACCAGCAATACATCTTCATATTAAAAAAATACCAGCAATACGGTTTTTGTAAAAAAAAAAATAAATAAATAATAATTACCAGCAATACATTTTTGTAAAAGAAATTCCTAATGCTCCCAATAAAATTAAATTTCTTTAAATGACCCATTTGATATGCCGCTAAAAAATAAACCAAGTCAAATAATGCCATTTTAGGTTTTGCATAATCCATATTAAAAAAACGCTCAACCAATAAAAAATGCAAAGAATCGAATCAAGCAATTCTATTGGTAGATCGCCTCCCAAAGCAAGAATTGCGCCAAAATATCTTGAGCCAAAAACCCAAAAGGTTATAAAAAGGAGAAAAGACAACCCCAGTCAGTCAGTCCAGCTCACTTTTTGAGCGACTGCACGGTTCAACTTCTGTCTCCGGATGAAAAAGGAGGCTACGCCGAAGGGCGAAGTCTCCTTCGGGGAGGTTAAAATCGGCCCTGAACCCGTTTATACGGGTTCAAATGGGCTATTTTTGGCTGAGCCTAATGGCTCGGGGAATGCCCATAATTAAAAGGCCTTGTGCATGACACCCTCGTGGGTGGGTGACTGAATATCTCAGTCTAGCGAACTCGCCGATCGATTGCCTAATTAATCCACGACATTCAAAAAAACAGAATTTTACCGCGCATTTTTGACGAACTTCAACTGACTCGCCTGAAAACACTCAACGAACAACTATCGAAACTTTGAACAATATTTTAACATTGATTTATTCATTACTAAAAATAAGAAATACGAATCAAAAAACAAACACAGACACGTTCAAAGGAAGACTACTTTGCAAACTTTACCAAAAACTCTTATTATATATTTCAACACAAACACAAAATAACAAACATAACGACACAGAGACATCCAACATTTCAGCAACATATACAATTAAACAAATAAAAACAATATTAACCTTGTTTGTAAATAATTGCCATAAATGTTTTATTTGTTTCGATCTATAAATGTCTCGTTTTTACTTTGTTTGAAATCTCATATTTGTTATATATTTGTTTGGGACAAGGTTTAGACACACAACCGATCCGAACAAAATCCTTCTGATTAATTAAATGAACCAAAAGTCCCAACAACTTCATAAACCGAATTTCTTGTCTGCTTAGTCTGAAATTGTTAAAATAATTCAATATTTCCTCTTTGCAAGTCCAGTTGCAAACTAAAGAAGTTTGGACAAAATTCCATCATTTTTAAGGGTCACAATGGGCAGAACCGGAGGAATGATCTCGTACTCCGCACACTGAATCTATGATACGCCAACCACCGTCCAATCTACTTACTTACTACTACATCTCAATTTTATTGTAACCTAATTATGTACAATAATGGATCTTATGCAATGTAGGTGAACAATTCAACTAGAAAAATTGAAAATAAATACAATGTATCTAAATACAAATTAGAGACATGTCATAATAGATCATTCCATCTTAAATAAATCAACAATGTTTTGTAGCAATTTTTAACATCAACTTGAGATTTTTCTTTTTAAAACGTTAAAGGATTTTATCATATTTATGGATAAGAAAAATAATAAATTTTATATAATGTTTTTACGAGGCTTAGCCTGAGCAAAATAAATTTACGGGTGCAAAAAAAAAAAAAAAAATAATGACGTCAAAATCCGAGAAAATGTTCCTTCTTTTAATATTCAGTTGTGCTTAGTTTTATTTGTAACGTATATAAATGCAGATAGAAAAAAGCTAATGTTGATAAGAGATCAAAGGTCACAATGCACTGCCCCACCTCAGGCTTGCCTTAAGGTCGGCGTGGGGTGGGGGTTAGTATGCACCGGTTCTGCAATGGGACAGGATTTAAATTTGGCGGCCGCAAAAACTGTCAAAAGGAAGGTTATTCCGTTGACACCGCTATTACTGTATACACATTTGACTCCCTTGGCAATGTTTATTGTTTTTAAAAAGCGATGATTACAATTTAATAAATCATAAACATGTGAAAATGTATTTTCTTTATTATTGAGGATAAAGACATTTATAAGATTGAATTAAAAAAAACTTGTTTTCATAGCTATTTATAAAATAGTAAATAATAAAATTAAATATTGCTTTGTAGTTGGTTTACAATATTTTTATAATTTTGTATATTGTTATCAAATTTTGAATAAAAAGACTATTCATATTAAATCTTTTTAAAATGGTAAATAATAAATATTACGTTGTAGTTTGTTTATATATTTTAATTTTGTATTTTTTTATAATTATTTTAGTAAAAAGATTTATTTTCAAAGTTATTTTTTTATAAAATGTTAAATAAATCTTTATAAAAGGTAAATAATAAATATGGCATTGTACTTGGTCCACATATTTTTATAATCTTATAAATTGCTGAGGGAGTCAAAAGGGTATAACAATACAATAACGATGAGAATTTTTTCATTGAGATTCATAAATTTACATATATAAATTTTAAAGTTTTTGTAACCTTTTCAAAATTATAAAATACTATATGCCTTGCTATATGCCACTCTTTTTCTTTCTTTTTTTCTTTTTTTTGTAAGAAAATGATGATTGATTTTAAATCATTGTTATAATTTGTGGAGAAAAAGGATGCATTTCAATCATTACACAATGATCTTGCCGATGTGACCTCTACCTTCTGTCTTTCTCCTTCTATATTTTGTAGTCATTCCCTTGTTCAAATTTACATTTTAATTTAAATCAAAGGGGGAAAATCAGTGGGAGGTCTATGTTCCCCGAGGACCCCCTTTGATCAAAATGAAATATATCCAATTATTCAACAAAGTACCCTGGGCAATGTAGTTTCAGAATATATATGGTTATCTCCAAAAGTCTAGGAGGAGTTCGATAACAAACAGAGAGACAGAGCCTACAACTTTATAGAGAGAGATATCTATGCCTCGGATCTATGTTTGAAAGATTACAAAAGGCATGTTAAAACTATCAGTGATTCAAGAAATCGATCGTCTGGAAATGTAATGCAAACCCAAATAAAATTCCCTATAAAAACGAAATTCAATGACATTGTGTTAAAACAAGAATTTCAAGGTAAATGTAATGCAACAAAATACACTCACCTTTTGCAGCTTTTTTACCAATTAATAGATAGATGATCAACAGAAGACAAACAAAGCACTTCATGGTTGTATTTCCATACAGGATGAGAATATGAAAGTAATATTTGCAGAATCATATGACATCTAAGAAATTACAGCTAGAAGGATGTTCATTATTTGACCGAATAATTATTTTTCAGTCGAATAATTATATAAATGATTAATTGAGAGTAAAAAAACGGAAGACCTTCTTCACTTGTTGACTGGGAAAATCCAGAGCATTTGTTTTTTTTGTTTATCTTTCTATGAGTCATTGTGTCATTAACAATTATGGCGAATTGTCATATTTAAAAGGGAAGTACAAAAATTAAAACAGACATCAGAAGTACGTTAAAACTGTAGGCGATCACAAATAATGCAAAAACAGTACCACCGGTGATTCATAAAGATAATAGCCATCTAAGAATAAGAATATTTTTTTTAATAATTTCATTCCAAGCTAGGCATTAAAGCCACCAATACACAAGGGATTACTGAGAGTGAAAGAATAAGAAAAAGAGAAACATTATTAAGGAGAGAGAACAATAAAAGAAGAGTTACCAAGAAGACAGAAGATAACGATTGACATTGCATTTAAATTAAGTGTGAGAGGAGAAACTTAAGGTTACATCTAGCCAATTCAACTGGAAAAACGATGAGGTATTGTTGCCAAGCTAGTACTGCGCTTAAATTAAAAAGTCTAGGTGCCATAGAGGAAAGTTCCTCGGAACAATTACCATGAAAGTTTTTATAGAAAAGGCACAGGGAAGCGACATTATGGCGGTGGGGAAATGACTGAAGCCGAGAGGCTAGGTTAGGACCAATAATTTTGCGGATTCTTATTTGGATTTTATCAAGAATATCTAAATATATAACAGAAGCAGCATACCATAACAACAATATTCAAAGCATGGACGAATGGTAGACTTATAAATATGTAAGACAGATTCTGGAGAGAATGACACAGTGAACCAACTTTCTTAGCAGCAGGCCGAGCAATTGAATCAATATAGTCTTTCCAATTCATGTCAGCAGAGAATGTTAGCGTGAGAAGGCGCAACGCGTCACTTTCCTGATGGTTAGCATCGGCCATACTAACGGGAAGCAGGAAAGACTCTTTCAGATGATTAATAAAGAGAAATTTAATTTTGGAGACGTTAATATTAACATGAAATTCCTTGCCCCAGTTAACAGCAGATTGTACGTCATTTTTGAGATCAGTTGCCAATTTGACCTTATCAAACCGATCAAACTTACTGTCGAGACAGGAGTAAATAGTTGTGTCATCAGCACAGATACCAAATTGAGAACTGATGACATCAGAAAGGTTGTTGATGAAAATTATGAACAAAGTAGGTCAAAGGATAGAGCCATGGGGGACACCTGCATTAGTACAAAAAGAAGAGAGGATGTTCAAGACAACTTTCATTTCGTAATTAGATAAGAAAGACTGAATCAGTTCAAAAATTCGTCGAGAAGTACCATAAACTTTCAACTTATGAAGAAGGCCAATGTAAGAAACCCTTTCAAATGCCATCGAGAAATCAAATCAACAGACCGAGCTTCACCATTCTTATTTGAACCTTTATAGATTCTTTCCTCGATAATCATTAATACATCAGCAGTTGAGCTAGAGAAACGAATTCCATATTGCTTGTCTGAAAGAAGACCCTGTGATGTGAGATGCTTAACTTATTCAATGTTGATTAGAGCTTCTAGTAGTTTGACAAAAAGTGGTAGAAGGCTAATAAGCCGATAATTAGAGAGATCAGATGATTCTTAATTTCTGGAGCAACAAACACGAAAGCAAGAAGTAGCAAGACATTTATTGTAGAATTTAGAAAAGGGCTAAAACGGGATGGGGAAGGCTGGCCTTCTCTAGTCTTAACTTAACCTAGCTAGTCTCATTCCCTGATACATTCGTACATATAACATTCACCAAAATGCCTCATTTGCTCAATGAAATTCCTAACTTGAAATGGATATATACATTTGGGGATGGGCAAATAGTAATATGCACAAGAAACTAAACAGAACCGCCTTAGTAGTTGACCCCACCCATATACACAAAAACTACATGTGACAGAAAATCTCAGTTAACTAGGCGAAACAATGCTAGACTCGAAACGAAAAAAATATTCCGAAAATGTCATACATTCACCAGAGTACTAAGAAATCTGTCACCTAATAGAGAGGAGAGATGAGGTATGAAACAAAAAAAAAAATAAAGGGGACAAAAATAAACAGGCCTATATGCTTGCATACCTAAAAGTGAACAAGGTGAAATAAGTAAAATAAGACTAAAAAGAATTAACTCAGAACTAAGGATGAAGTTAGGAGTAAACCAGTGGAAAAAGAACCATAGACACGTTCTGCAACCTAAAAGGCAAATATAATTACCAATTTATACAATGAATATATATGATAAATATATATGTAAATGATATAAAAGATTTCTACCCTTCTATCATGCTAGATAAATCCATCTCCTTACACCAAGAACAAACAAAAACATGCACAAATGAAGTAAAAGTCATTAAACACCGCATTATTCGACAAAGAAATGCTTGTGTAAAAAAAGTATGAATCTTTGACATTGCAATGGGAAGCTTTGAGGATGCAGAAATCTGCAAGCTTATAGGCATACATTTACTACATGAACTAAGTAAAATAATCGATAAAAATGATATAGGCCTCTACAGGGACGATGGTCTCATAATCCTAAGAAACTAACAAAAAAAAAAAAAAACACACAAAACCAGAAAAATAATCATAAAACTTTTCAAAAATATGGGATTCGACATAGACATAAAAACTAACGTAAAACAAATAGATTTCCTAGATGTCACACTCATCCTAAGAAAAGGTACATATCAGCTATATACAAAACTCAATGATAAACCAGTTTACGCGCGCGCGCGCACACACACACACACATATCTTCCAACCAACCACCAACAGTAATCACGCAGATTCCACAATGAATTAACCGCAGGTTATCTGGCAGTTCTACCAGTGGAACCTTCTTTAATGACGCCAAAAACGATTATGACGAAACAGCCCTAAAATGATTTTGATAACATTCACATACACATGATACAGTACAAATAAAGTTAACAGGAAAAGAAACATCATCTGGTGCAGCCCACGCTACAACAAAAAAAAGTAAAGTAAAACATAGGAAAAATATTAATTATACTCATACACAAACACTCGCTCCATCTAGCTCTCTTCACAATAGAAACACAGTAAAAATCAGCACCGAGAACGACACAAATAATAAAAAAAAGTACAACAGAAAAATCACTAACAAACGACCCGCACAAATCAAGGCCACATGTAACTGCAAAGCGAAGAACGAATGTCCCTTAAACGGTAATTGTTGAATGTAATATACCAAGCCACTGTAAAAATCGGTTGATAACGAAGAAACATATACATAAGGGTCATACAAACAAACAAAATATGCACACAAATCATCCTTTACAAATAGTAAATACCCGAACAGCACAATGCTATCTAGACATATGGGAAATTAAAATAAAAACCAAACTGCACCAAAAATACCATAGAAAATAAGAAAAATAGCATCAGCCTGCAACAATAAACCCCAAAACTGTAAACTCTGTCTGGCGGAGTCAATAGCTATAATTAGATTCCCAGATTAACGCAAATTTCTATATAAGCGATCAGAACTTATTTCAAAAGGGAGCCACAAAAACAAATTTTTACTACGTTATTTCAAAATCAAAACTTAAAAAGAAATACCTTGTAAAACGCTACTATGATAAATGCAAATATACACAATATATTAAACGCAGATACTTTAAACAAAGCCAATATCTTATACTAAAGAAATGAGGTAACCAACCCCGGAGAAAAAATAAATAAAAATCTGAATAAATAAGTAAGCAAATTAAGTAAATAATAAATAAATTAACAAACTACGAATGCACACATAAACACAAGTAAATTTAATAATAATAATCAACAACAAATAATTACGCAATCAAAAATAAATAACGAGTAAAAAGTTAACACTATGAAATAGATACCAATAAAAAGTTAACAAGCAACACGATAAAATAGCTACATAGAACCGTATCCAGATCCACAATTATTCCTATTCAATAGCATCTAGAATAATTTGAAACATAACCATTATCGTCTGCTCAGTAATCCTTAGACCAATAGACCTTATTATCCATAATTCACCACTGACCAGCATGTATAAATAGTCGAAACAAAACACATGGCCTGAGGATTATTGTGTTACAAGTTGCAAGACGTGATATATTTGAAATTATTAAATTTTGAATTGACTCTCTACCCATGAATAGTCCGAATTAACACACTTTATTTTTTAGATAACTCAACAAAAAGTTGCAAGTCGAGAAATTCAAAATTTGTTACTGTTGAGAAGTCCGATAACTCTGACTATTATCTCTCCGTCCTTAACTCTCTTGCACCGAATTTTTAATAAAAGATTTTAACTCCTTTTTTCACTGCACACGTGTGTTACTTTCCTCTGTTCGACTTTGTCAATTCCTAACTCTTATTCAACAGCAGCATGTCAACTTTAACAGTTACCACCGTGTTTTCAAAAATATCCACCCTTCGCCACCCTTTTGTAGAGCTATAATTATCTATCCTCCGTCCGTAAAGGAACAAATCGGACACATCTAAAAAGAGAATAATGCTCAAAATGTCTAGGAACTTTTCCAGTTTATCACTTACTCGCCCACCGCTTTCTCCGCTGAATACTGACTGATTTAAATGGATTTCTTCTGTCTGCCCTTCCATAAAAAGCTATGTAATACAAATACATTATTGTGATTCTTAGATTGTTGTTGACATACATAGTTTGGATTAAAATAGATTTTTCAGCCAAGTGGGAAAAAAAACAGCATATTTTGCTTTTTTTTACAAAACGTTGTAAATAGAAAGAATGAGAAAAAGAGGAGGGGGATTTCAAGAAGATTGTTGGTGGATAATTCAAGTCTGTCATCCTTCCTTTTATAAGTGCTTTTAGAGACGCTAATGAAA